GTAGGTTATAAAAAGACTGGTAACAAACCAACTTGTTTTTACTTTATGCATTCACCCATCTAGAAAGGGTGAGGAGTGGCCATTATTTTACAGCTGTTTTTGGACAATGGTGCCAAGAAGATGATCACATTTTTCTGTCTATCCTTTTCTTACTTAATTGTCTCCAGATCTTTTCTTATTTATGGCTCAAAGAGCTTAACTCACAGACCTATCTGGAGATTGTGCTGTATATGTGCCTGTTTTAAGTAGCTGATACTCACATTGGGTGCATCATATTTTCTACCTGTTTGAGAAGAAATGTCTAGTTTTCATTAACATTTTTAATTTTCTTATGTTGCCTGAGGAACGGCAGGATTCTTTAGTCTTGAAAAATTAGTGGAACATACTACATTTGTGTGTCTCTTATCATTTTTGCTGTAAAACTGCTGTGTAATACATCAAGTCTTCAGAATGGATGCCTTGGTAATTTTACGTAAAAGGAAAAGAGATGAAGTATCTGTGAGGATTAAGAGGAGCTGGCTATAACAAAGTATCAGGATTGGTTTGGATAATGGGATGTGTCAGAGCCAGATGGTTTACAAATAGGACATACAAAGCAACAAAGGGTCTGCCAGAATTTTATGTACAAGAACTTACTTTTAGAGATTTACCAAGTAAGCAAAGTGTAAATATTTTCTCTCTTGGACCTACTGCTTTTTTCTCTGCAGAGGGATTAGAAAGTATCAGTTTAAGAAAAATAACCTCAGAGCTTCATTTCCTCTCCCCCAAAATTTCTGGAATGAAGAACTTACTGCAGAAAATGATGTATTTTTACATATCATTTGATGCTCTAAACTTCTTCTGATATCAGGACTTTTCACGAGATAGGCCAGCAAATGACAAATCATGGATGAGAGAACACCTGTAGCGTGAGACGTTTGGTTTTGTTCCAGAAGACCTTTGAACATACACAACATGGTATTTTGATATCGAATAAGACTTTGCATAAACATAATACCTTTGTCTTAAAGTGGTAAAATATGTTTGCTTTCCCTTTCTAAAGGTACCAGTCCCAGGGATTCCACATTATGTTTTGAGTAATTTGGCCCAAAAGAATTGGAGAAGAATGAAAGTGGAAATTATGGACACCAAAATTTAATAGAAATTAAATTACATCTTACCCAATTTACCCACTAGAGGAGAGTAGAACATGTGGATCTGATGTTCACTGAGATGAGTTCAAAGAGCACTAGTGTACAGCTAATTCTTATGCAACCAGACTGTAGTACTTCAAATAATCTGCTTATGCCAAGCAGTGGCAAACCAACTGTGATACACATATAATATTTCAGCTGGATGTAATTTACTCTCTTCTCATGTAAATCTAACACCTGCTGCTCCATAATCATAACAGGAGTGCTTTTGTCCTGCGTGTTGTACCTTGGAGTGTTGTACTAGCCCTGTTTAACCTTCTGTGTGTGAAAGAACAGCACCTCCCATTTGCCTTGGTTCTTAACTTGCTGCACTGGACTCAGAGGATGAACAGAGCTTCCTGAGACCAGCCATCCTGTACTGCTCTTTTCACTTCCTTTTTCTTGAATAATGAGTAATTAGACAAGAATCCAGGGAAAAAAAGTCACATGCAGTCAAGTTCAGAGTTTATTCCATGTCAAAATAAGACTAGAAAACCAGGAAAAATAAGTATTTCAATAACAATGTTTTGCCTAGGGTTTTTTGGGTTTTTTTTATTTCTTTCTTCATTTCACAGAACAGGGTGGGTGATCAGAAGCTAATACCAGTGTAAGATTCATGGGACTAAAGCCTAGTGCACTGAGCTATCACATATGCACCCCCTAAAGAAGGTTACCAAAATAAATCTTCAAACAGAGAAGTACACCAAATGAAATGGTGAATACTAAATTATTCAGCAACAAATAGAAGATGCTGACTGAAAAATCCTAAAGGAGCATAAGCACCACAACATCCAGCTCAGGGAAATCCCACAAACATGATTCATTGGGAAAACAGAGACAGTCATAGACACAAATTTATCAATAGAAACAAGATCTGAATCACAAAAAGGAAACGTCCCAGCAGATAACCCTACTTTCCTAAAAAATATCCGGTAAATTTGTCGTTGTGTTTTTGCTCTGTTCTGAAGTGACGATTTTCAAACGCAGACTTTTGCTCTTTAGGGATGTATTTGCTGTTGCTCTCCTTCAACTAGCTCAGCCTACAAGGTGGTTAGACTGATGTACATGCCCAGGCAGTTGAACCAGCTCTTACATGATGTAATGTAATGTAAGTCAGGTATAATTGTTACTTACCTTACCAGAGGATAAAGGAAAAACTGTTTTTTTCTACTTCTGCCTTCTGAGGCTTCTGTATGGAGCTCTTGCAAGCCTTGGCCAAACAGCTGTAAAACCAGGCTTATGCCTTGCCTCCCTTGGTGAGTAAAGGAGATACTCCCTTGCCAAATAAGTAGGTAAATCAAGTAAATCTTCATACTTAGGGAATAGTGAGCAGAAAAGTTGATGCATGAGCTTGTAATAGAATTTATCAGAGGGGGAGATAGAACATTTGCACAAACATGCTTGGCTCCATGTCCACCCAAAAGTGATCTTCAAAAGAGGTGGGTTTTATTCCACAAAATTTCTCATTTTCGGCAGGGCTAGGGCAGCAGTTCAGAGTTTGCAGAGTTAGTGTTTGTTGTGAACGTGTGTCACAAAATTGTAGATGTCCCCAGAGAACACAGAACAAAGAACACAACAAAGGTCAAGACGTGAGGAGCCATGTGAGTCAGACTGGGTTTTTTCAACACAGTTTTGGATTTTTGTGCCTCAGATCCAGCTGTATTCTATTTGAGTCCTTTTTTGAACTGACTCCAGCCATCTTCTGAAGAGCCTGTAATTATTTTGGCTGAGACCTAAAGTATTGACAGAAGCTGCTGCAAAATCAGAAATTAAGAATCTCTACATTGATGTGGAATAACTTCTGGTCCCAAAAGGGATATTTCCCCATGGCCCTGTGCTGCTAATAATCACTGCCTCTTGCTGGACTTAGTAATTGTGCAGGCACACCAGGCATTGGCACAATTTCTTAATTGGATTTAGGAAACATGCACAGGAAAATGATTGGATTTTTGTTTTCTTGCATCTGCAAACTCACTGCATGGCCCCACAATCACTGGCTTTGTTTGTGTGGGTGGAAAAGACAGGAGCACACAGCCAAGGGCAGGTCAGTAAGATGATTGGAAATCAGTTTATGCCAAGCTTGAAGCCACACTCCAAGTACTTGTTCAACAGATCATTGGAAAGGTTCCTCAGGTGTGTCTGTGAGCTGCAGTCACCACAGCGCAGGTGCATCGGCTCACAAGAATGTCAACGAGCGTGAGATTTGCAACAGAAAGCTGCAGGACAGGACGCAATGGGATTGAGAAATGGGAAATCTCTGGTAGGTGGCAGAGATCAAAGGCTCTGGCAGGAGTTGTGATTGCCGGGAATAGGGATGGGAACATGACAACAAGCTGAGCTTTCAGGGAGAAGGAAGAGAGAGGGGGAAGAGTGTTTCAGCTGCTGACAACGTTGATAGGCAGGCAGCCAAAAGCAGTGAACAATTTCATGTGTGCTTGACGTTGGCTCTCCTAAGAGAAGGAGTGGACAAAACAGAAAGAAGGAAGGAAAGGAAATAGCAAGGAAACTGAAAGCAAGAAAGGGGTTGCTTGGATCAGCTCTACTCTTCAAATGTCCTCACTAGCAGGCATAGTCCATGCTTGCTCTGATTGCACAATCTGATCTCCATCACACAGTTTAAATGTTCCAAATCCTGGAATTTCAAACCACATGTTTATATGATTATAATTGCAGGTCCTTAGGCACTTTTTAAGAGCAACTAGAAGTCCTCTTATTTAACAAAAAGACAGAAAAGCAAAAAAAGCCCAACATTAACACAGGATATTCCCCACCCTGTCATAAAAAGGTCCACTTCCCTTTTTCTAGAATGCTAAAAAGCAGATGAACTCTTGCAAAACTCTTTGAGGAGCTGAGTAAATACTGAAACATTCTGTTTGGTTAGGAATAAGTCAGTTTTACTAACAAATTTTGGTTTGCCCTGAAACTCAGCCAAGTTTCCTCCCTGCTGGATATGTACTATTTTTAGAATTACCTGTATTTGGGTGGTAACTAGGACCAAGCTTGCTAGCTACCACAAAATTCTGGTTCAGAAGGAAAAGTTTTATCCCAAATATTTTATTCTTCTGAAATTCATCAAAACAGCACTTATGTTCTATTCCCAGTTTTGAAAAAATTTTGGAAAACTTGCTGTATCACACCCATAAAAAATGTGAGAGCAAAATTCCAAGTGACCATATTACGTTTGGAAAGGGCTGAAGGAGAGGGAGTTTGGGGAAGTTTGTTGAAGGCAGATCTGAAAAAAAAAAAAAAAAAAAAAAGAACAATATGCATTTTTAGCATAGATGAGAACTGTAGAAATTATCTGAATTTTCAGGAGGGATTTTGAAAAGCGGCATTCTGCCAGGGGCTGAATAACTACTCTGACATCAAGAGAACTGCTCGGGGATGTGCTAACGTAGCTGCTTTCCTGGGAGAGGATATGAACCATACCCTGTGTGGGGTACGCTTCAATAGCTGAAGCGGACAAGTGTGAAACCAGTTGTAAAAGGAAAACGACTTTGACTGACAGAACGAGATCTTCGTCAGTCTGTGAGGAAACGCGGGGGGCACGGGGCTGGCGGCGGGGCTGCAGCGGCTGCGGTCCCCGCAGGGGCTGTGCGGGCACCTCCCGCGGCGTCCCTGCGGCCCCGCGATCGCAGCGGGCTCGGGGAGGCACCGACGGCTGCAGCGGAAGGGAACTCAATCATCTCAGTCTTTTCCAATCGAATTGGTTGGGTGAAGCGTCTCTGTGCTGAACATGCTGGAGGCAGCGGCGGGGAGCGGAGGGCAGTGAAGGGGCAGCACACGGGGCGACAGAGGGGTGACAACAGAGGGAGGGCAGTGCGGGGCCGTGGGATGCTCCCGTCGCTGCACAGCTCTGCGGGCAGGGGCGGTGCTGCCCAGGTGGCGGGGCCGGGCCGCCCCTCCTGCCTGGCTCGGATTACCTGGGCGGGCCGGCCCGGCCCGTCCCGTCACGCCGCCCTTCCCGGCTGGTCCGGCCCCTTGACGGGAAGTGGGAGCGAGGGGCCGCGCCGGGGCGGCCGAGCCATGGCTGTGGCCGGAGCAGCTCCGCTGCCCTGCCCGCTGCTCCTCGCCGTCTGCTGGGTGGTGGCCGCGGGGACGGCGGCAGGTAGGAGCGGGCAGGGCGGCGGGGCGGGCGGCGGGGCTCGGGAGCGGCCGCGGGCTGCGCTCCGTGCCCGCAGGCGCGGTGCCGGCGCTGCCGCGGCCGCTCCGGGCTCCCCTCGTGCGTGGGTCGGGTCGGGCGGCTCGGCCGTGGCTCCGCGCACACGCGGGCATCGATGTGAGGGAAATGCGGGCATGGATGTGAGGGAATTGCTTTCATTTTGTAGCAGGAATCGCGCGAAGCTCGTCAGCCGTGTGCGAGGCAGCGCCGGCTGCGCGCTCCGCGCTGCCACATTACCGGGAGCGGGGATGCTGAAAATCTGCTCTCCCCTTTCAGTGAGGCAGCTCTTGGCAGGGTCGGCAGAAATGTTTTAAGCTCCATCTTCGTTTCCCGGGACAGTTTCTGCCTTAAATCCCAAGCAGAATCCCCCGCCCTCCTGCCGGTGCCCGCGTCTTGCGGCGGTGCGGGAGCGGCTCCGCCGGGTGCGGGCAGGCAGAGCCTCCCTCGCCCTGTGCCTTCGCTCTTCCTTTGGTATTCCCGATTTTGGAAGTACGAATGTTTAGTTTTAGGAAACATGCGTGCGCGTCTGTGAGGACTTCATAAGGACTCGGGCTTGAAGGTTTATTCTCTGCTCATGTTATCCAAAAACTCAGCTATAGACATTAAGGAAATGTTATTTTTTTGTCTGCAATTCAGTTTATCACTGTGAAATCAACTTTCAGAAAATGCAGGAGGACAGAATAAAAACATGAGTTTTTTACTACTTTACAACGCTCTCACGTGGTACTTGAAGCACAGGATTTGTTGATGTTTCCTCGTTAGGGGTTTTGTAAATTATATGTTTTCTATGCCTCACTTAATCTCTGCTGGCTACTGCTGTTCTTCTTAGAAGCACCACCGTGGTTTTGCATTGTAGCGGTGAAATAACGGCTTGCCTACATTTTGTAGTCGGTCATTGAGTTGTTCTGCAAAATTGCTACAGAAATTTTAATAATTAGAGCATGAGACTATATTTTACACAGACAAAAGTATGAGATTAGCTTAATCTATGAATAAAAGCTGAATTAAAAACATTAAAACACGAGCTTCAGAATTCTGTACATTATTAAAAAGCCTACTAGATTTAAACTTATGCTAATACTGATTAATTTATAAGCTGTAAATATTAGCACTTCTTTGTGCGGCTAGTAATCCACAAACTTAAGTACAATGGCTTCTAATCAAACCTTTTAGAAGAAAATGTTTAGAACTTCAGAGTAGAAATTAGGGACGACATTTTTTAATGATTTGTGGCTGTTATAGTTAATAGTTCAATCATGACAAGATGGAATGTTTGGAACTGTGTACTCTTGTTGATTTATTTTTTTTTAATATGATCAAAAGGGCTCAGTGTTTGTAAACTTAATGTCCCAAGGCTGTTCCTAAAGCCCGTCCTCTGTTTTTGTTTGTGGAAGAGGTAATAGGCAAAGATGTTCTTGCTACATTCAGTTTTCTCACTGGAGACTGTATTTTTGCAAGAATAAAAATTTCCTCTTTCTGAGAAAATCCCAAAAATTCAAAAATCCCAACAACTTGATGTATTCAAACAAACTAAGCATATTCAAACTAAATCAGTGAATCTTTGTAATTTTTCTCTTTATCTGTGCAAACACATGGATTAAATGATGCCTGATCTCTACCATTGCCTGTGCTTGAACTATGCAAAGGTCTGAGAGAGCTCCAGAAGTTTGGTGAATTCCCTTCAAGATTCTAAGCATATTCAAACTAAATCAGTGAATCTTTGTAATTTTTCTCTTTATCTGTGCAAACACATGGATTATAATTATGCCTGATCTCTACCATTGCCTGTTCTTGAACTATGCAAAGGTCTGAGAGACCTCCAGAAGTTTGGTGAATTCCCTTCAGGATGTAGCTACTCTGGCTTTTAGGAAATATAAAATAGTGGTGTCATGGACACTTTGAGCAGAACTCTTGCTCAAGGAACCTCTTTTGCTTTCTCTATCTTCCCTCTCCCTTGTGCTAGTAGAAGGAAATGGGGCTGCACTGTGACTTGGATGGGAAAACTGATCTTGATGGAATCATTCTGCCCTTTTCCTATGAGCTCTCTTGAATGCTGGGATGGGTTGAGCTTGGTTCCCTTGGACAGCAGAACCTGCAGCACGAGCTGATATCTGTTTGAAGTGTTTGTGAAACTATTGAGAAACCAGGGTACACTCTGTCCACAGACTAACAAGTGGCAGTGGCTCAGTGATGATACCTGGAGATACCCTGAGAAACAGTCTCATTGGGCTTCTGGTTCAACATCTTCTCATAGTACATATTAGAGTAGCCCTTTAAAATTCACTTTTCCTTTCTTAGGGAATTCCCAATTCGTGATGTTTTTCAGAATTGATGTCTGACATGTACTTTACTTTTTCCTGGAAGTTTGCCATTTCCTGTCATATTTCCCTTCTTTGTTTTCTAATATGATCTTCAAGCTTTGTGATGGATCTTGAGTAGGCATTGACTCAGTGCACAAGATAAGGAAGGGTCAACGCACAAATGGATTTATCGCTGCGACCGTTTGAGTCATGGCCCTGCTCTGCTTCTCATTGGCCTTTGGGGGGGTAAAAAATGGACCACTGAAGTGTGGCAGCAGTAAATTACTGCTTGTCCCACACTGGTTTTGCTCACTGTGCCAGAACATAGCATTATATTTTTAATAGGTAGTTGAGAAAGTGATGTGGTTTCCTTGTTGTTTTTTAACATTCTTGCATTTGCAATCTTTGCTTTGCTTGCAATCTTTGCTTAAAGTGTCCTTCTAACATACAGCTGTTGCTTGCAAGATGTAATCACTTGTCTTTTTAAGGATTTCTCTTTAAAACTGCTGATGGATAACTTCTGGGGAGAACACGGTATTAATTGCTCCACAAAATGTATATACTGTTTTTACTAAAGTTTCAGCATGTGATTCATCTTCCCGCAACGTGCAAAAGCTCGAGTACCACAACCACTGCATTGTTGCAGGCTACAATTTCTTAAAAATAACTTTTCAGTTAATTTGTGCATATTTGAATTATTTATGTGTTGACGTAACACTTTGTGTTGAGAAACACTTTAGTGGGCGCTACTTTATCTGATAGAAAACATGAGCTGATGAAGCTGAGAACTTATTTGTGTTCTTTTCTGTCAGTTAAAAATCTGCCAGTATTACTAATGGTAAAATGTGAGCCAACAGGATTGTTACACTAGTAACTCCTTTCTTCCAGGAGCAAAAGTTCTTCCATCTCCATCCAACTTGAACTATTCATTTACCCATATCTGTACTCTGAACTGGACATGGAACCCCCCAGAGAATGTCAGCAGTAGCTGCAACCTGTGGTATTCCAGTGACATCATCATTAATGGCGTTCCTGAGGACAGAAGAGTAAGTACATCACCTCTTTGAGCTCTGTGTTCCAGTAAACATCTAACTGTTGTAAAACTCTGTGTGGGAGAGCATATACACATATATAAATACAATTTTAATGTAGCATTTCATTCTTATCATGGGATCAAAACCTCGAAAGTGAATCATACCAGCATATGGGATCTTCAGATCAGAAGAATCTGTCTGTTGCTCTCTGATAACTGAGTGCTGATGGTAACACAGAAGTACTGTAATAATAATGGGAAAAGTCTGGTTTCAGTCTTTGCTTGTGCAGCTTTCTAGAAAAATTAGATACAGGGCAGTCTACATACTCAAGAGTTTAATGGGAATTTACAATTTGAATTTTTCTCCTTTACTTTGAACTCACTTTGAATAGACATGCAGATTTAGTTGTAGTTTGACAGTATTGCATCTTTTGGAGGTGATGCCAAGAATTAACATTCCCCCATTTACCCTCTCCCTGCAATTACAATTATTTGTAGGAGGGTTGTGTTTTGAAGACAATATGGTGCGTGTTTGTTGCCTGGAACAAAAGTATGTCATTCATTTGTTTTGGGCTTTCATTTTCTGTGTTAGATGGTTTGCAGCCCAGATGTGCTCCTTGCTGTGGATTAGCTGCTGTTTGGACAGGGCATTGCCGTGGTGCCCATTGCTATGGGCTGTAGGACAAGTTTTTTTACAATTTATTGCCAGTAAAAACATAAGTTCGTTATTCCAAACTCTGGGAATTTGAAGCCTTTGGTAGATGCCAGCTGTGGGGGAGGCAGTGCTGCTATTTCAGATATGGTTACAATTGATATGATGCCTCTTGAAGGAGTCTGTTGTTGAGCCCTGTTACAGTCTTACAGCCTGGTGCTTACATTGGCCTCTTCATGCTAACCACTGCATTTTTTCTCACAGCTCCAGGAAATCCTGGACATGAGTAGGGATGCGGTTTGGCCAGTTCGGATGGAGCATTGAGCAACCTGTTCTAGCGGAACGCAGCAACCCACAGCAAGGGGGTTGGAACTGGATGATCTTTACGCTCCCTCCCAGCCCAAAGCATTTTGTAATTCTGTGACTCTGGTTTTGCAAACAGCTGAGCTGATTTGATGTCACTACTAAAAGGGTGATGTTTCATTTTGACACTAATGATCTCTAATAATCTTCGTTGGACCTTTAGATGAGCCAGTTGAACCTGCTAACACAGCAGTAACCTATTTACCTATTTTGATTGATTCATTAACAAATCAACAAGTAAAAAGTCTCCTTGGTTGAAGAGCTGACTAAGTTTGTGGAAGGGTCTGATAGATAGTAAAGTCATCAGCAATGAAAGAACTGAGGGTCAGCAGTTTCACAGGACAGGATGAGACAGACTGTACATCTTGCTGCATCTTTTTGCTCACAGAATCTGTTGGAGGTTAGGATTTTTTCTTTCTTTATTTTTTTTTTAAGGACATTTTCTCGGACTTGTTTCTAGAGATGATAACAACTGGTGCTTAAGAGAGACAACAGAAGTGGCCAAGGTGGGGTGAAGGGGTGCAGCTGGCTGCAGCCCCTTAGCTGGGGAGTTTTCTTTTGGGAAGAGCAGAGATACTTCGACATTTTGGCTGGGGGTGAGGGGCCGGGCTCGGCTCAGAGCTCTCTCTCGCTCCTGAGGTCACAGGCTGTGGTTGCTGTGGGAAGAATTCCCCACCACTGGGGAGTCCCATCTCCCACTGTTTTCTCCTACCATGAGTGCGGCTCTGCTCGTGGGAGCAGCCATTGAACTGCCATGTCTCAGGAAAGGACCCTCACCATCTACTGGGGCGCCTCAGGGAAAACCCAGGACCCCGAGCCCCTTTCCCCTCTGAGGGAGCCTCTCCCAGCCGTGTTCAGGAGCCGGGCTGCCGCTGCCCAGCCCCGCCGTTCCTCCGCCACTGCTCCGGGTGTTTCATTGCACTGTAACCCCACACCCTGCCGACAGGACATGACGTGGCTCCTGCTATGGAGTTCTGCTACATTTCGTTTATTACTGCAGCATTTTGCTCGCCTCTGCCATTCCATCTTGCTTCTTCTGAGGTTCCTGCTGCAGCTCCTTTCACCATCCAGAGGGGCGCAAAGACCAACTGCATGCATGCTGTGAGTTTGCAGAGGAAGCCGCTTTCCCATCTCATCCGCCGCACACTGACACACAGGGACACACTGACACAGGAACACACTGACACACACACACATGCTGGCAAAGAACTGCTGTTCTCTCCTCATGTCTTTGCCTGAAAGCCCCGTTATTTTTGAGTTAGAAAATGTGGGCCCCCTTCCCACCAAATTATTCTATCCCGAGGGAGGTTCCCACCTTCCTTGCCAGACACCTGTCTTTTAAACCCAGACAAACCTAATCTGTCCATTTGTTTGATTTCTTTACCCTCTCATTAGTGCCAATATTTATTATTTCTATATATGAGTGGTTACAGCATTCTTTGGCCATAACAGATATAACAGCCATAAAGATATTTGTTTCGTACCCAGTTTCCAGTTAAATAAAAAGCATCCTCCTAGGCCAACAAAAGATGCTCAAGAAAGTGTGTGATAAAAGGTTGAGCCTTTTTCTCATACAAACATACTTGAAATGGAAGATCATGAGATACTTGGGCTTGATGTGGTGTCACTGCTTTTAATAGCCATTTATGGGCTTGTTTTGGTAGGTTTTTCTTTTGCTCCTTAAATCATCCAAACTCATCTAACTGCTTTTTGGTTGCGTCTTCAAATGTTCTTCATTCTGTTGGTCATGCCCTGATGTGCACACACACAGAAAGGTGAAGGTCAGATCCGTAAGTGCCTGTTAATACCACTGTAGTATAAACATGCTTGTTTTGTATTATCCATGAAGACTTTTTCTAGGATGGTTTTCCCCCTTGTTATACTTACTTCTTGATCACTGTGTAGCCTTTGCTTATGTCTGTAAGTCACAGGGGTAGGAGTAGTTTTTCTCTGTGAGTTCTGATTGTGCCTGAGAAAGAAAAAAGCAAAGCCAAGCGATGCTGAGGCTTCCCACATAGTCAGACACTGGTTTCCTTTGGCTTTGAGCTGTAGTCTTTCTGAAGGGCTGTAATACATCCTTACACTGGCAGGAATTCCCATGTATCTGAGATGGTATGACAAATGTTCTGGTTTTCTTCCCCCATCTAAACCCAGGAATGGAGCAAGAGCCGCTTCCGTGTGACGGATGCGCACTTGAATGAGGAAATGCGCCTCAGAGTGAGGAGTGAGTGCAAGAATGACAGCACCAGCGAGCCCAGCCCCTGGGTGGAGACCTCCCTTCTGCCAAAAGGTAATGCCAGCAGTGGCCAGATCCCTCTTGGCCTGAGGAGACATGCCTTTTTCTCTTATCTTTCAACAAGAAATCATGAAATGCATCATAGAGAAACACCAGATACAAGGGCTGGTTTTATTGATAGAGCTTAAACAGAATGGTCATACCACCTTTGAACATAACTGGGGTCTTCTGATGCTTAAAGTCTTGTAAAATTGAAGTCCTCTTCCAAAACAGCCATGTAGTTCCTGTTACTTGTCTTCTGGCTCCTTTGAGCCCTTCTTTCTGAAGGGCTGTAATATATCCTAACTCTGGCAGGAATTCCTGTGTGTCTGAGATGGTATGACAAATGTTTCGGTTTTCTTCCGCCCCACCTAAACCCAGGAATGGAGTATGAGCTGCTTTGGTTTTGGTGGTTGTGGCATAAGAAATAGCTCTGACTCCATTAAGCCTGCTGCCTTCATGACTAACATCGAAGTCAGTTTATTTTTTTATGATTTTTCTGTATAAACAGAAGCCCATAAAATAACTCTACAATTGTCTGTGTAGGAGGGAGGACTGTGGTAAATTTAATAACTTGTTGAATAAATTGCTTAAATAATTGCAATAGGGTTCTGTCTTCTTCAAGAGATGAGTGAAGTCTACAAAGCATAGCAAAATGAATAGAGAAAAAGTATTTTTTGTTTCTTGGCATGCAGAAGTATGGGGTCCACAGCAAAACTGTTAGGAAGCAGACTTTGAGGAGTAAGGTATTTTGCTGAATACTTTAAGTTAGGATGTACAGCAAGAAAATGAGCCTCTTGCCTAAAAGTCTGTCTTGACCCAGGAGCATGACTTGATGTGGATGTAAACCACATGTGGTTGGGAGCATAAGAGACCTTATCAAGCCTGTGTGTGCGTCTGCCAGAAGGGTTCTGGAAAATCAGGGAAGTAGATCATTAGGACAGCATGTACTGAACAGGCTGGGGCTTTTAAAAGTATGTTTGCAGATGAAATATTTTTATATACTTCTTGGAATCGGAAAACATAAAACATATTTCATTTCCCTATACTCTTAGTTGCTGCTTGAGGGAGAATGCAAGCTCAGACTTTCAAAGTAGATCCACATTTAATACGGGTTTAGTTTTTAGTTCATGGAGATGTTGCTACTTGTTGGAAGGAAAAAGTATCCAATACAATGTAATATGGTAATGCAGTGTAAAGAACTCATACAGAAATGCATGATTGAATATGAAAGTCTTTATTCCATAATTGCTCTGCCTGTGTGATCCATTGACCTATTCACAATTGCTAGGTACTCATTTGTGTTGATGTGACTTAAGTTTCCAAATGTTAAATTTTAATGTCTAAAGGTATACGGGTCTCCATTAACAAGTCAACTTACCTAGTGTTGCTTTTGTCAATATTTAAGACTCAGAGGTATTTTCTTATATTATAAATACAAAGCAGCTAATACTGTATCTGGAGAAGCTAAAAATAGTCAGCCTTTAATTATGGTTGACACTGATGGCTGTAAAAGCATTTAGCTTTGTTATAGTTTTCCCTGCAATTACCAGCTACTTTGACTTATTTTTAAAGTACCTGTAGATTAATAGAAATAAATATTTTCCTGACTCCATACCTTGTCCTTAGCATCTGGTAACCCTAAGTAGCAATTAAACCATGGTGAACTCTGGGATGTGCTCTAATTGGCTTGCCTCTAGAAGTTACTCTGCTGAGATTTCAGCCATTGCAGGCTCTAAAGAGCTGGAATTCATCATTTGTTGTGCTGAACAGGCTGGTGTAGTCTGGGAGGTAACCAACCCATTTCTGCCTTCCAGTTTCAGTTATGTAAAATGAAATGTTTTACTTCCGGAAACAACAGAGAAAACTTGGACAAAATAAACCTTAGATAACATTTCCAACTTGCCTTGCAGGTATTCCAGGCACTGCTGCTGTTGACTTGGGCTGTGTTTGGCACAATTTGGAGTACATGGCTTGTACCTGGCGGCGTGGGGAGAACGCAAGCAGCGACACCAACTACACTTTGTTCTACTGGTTCGTGGGAGATTTGTGTTCTCAGCTCTAAAGTGCTCCAGGACTAATCTTTAGTTTTACATGACACATTCCACTCGTCTGCTTCCTGTTGCTTCTAAAACTCCCAGGGCATTGTGTCCAAGTTACTGCTCAGCCCCTTCCAACAGAAAACTTCACCACTGAAGGGGTCAGAAGCTGCTATGGCCAAGACTTTTTGGGAAGCTGATAAAACTGTTTTGTGTCTGCTTTTGTGGCCCAGATTAACACAGCTGCTATTGCTTTCTATATTTTTCTGTTTGGACACTTGACTCAAAGAGGGAATAATTAAGAACTAAGCTTGACCAATGTATTAGTTGCTTTCTTTGCAGCCCAACAAAACAGGATGTTTAAGTTAGGATTACTCACAATGTATGTCAGCTCATAAACCATTGGGAAATGGTATGAAAGCATTAATAACTCTTAGCAGTACATCTGTTTGCATCTTCAACGATGTAAATAACTGATTCACCTTTAAAGCTATGAAGAACATCTTTTTATCATCATCATCCCCTCTGGCCAGTGGACAGCCATAAATGGTGTCTTGTTCCAAAGGAAGAGACTTGTGTGAGCCAGGTCTTGGCATTGGTAGCTGTACATGCTGATCTATGCATACTTCTGCACCTTGATGGGGCTTGTGAAATGCCAGATTGCATTAGCTTCTGTAGAAATAGTGGAGTTTTCTTTGTGAAAGCCCCATGTCATAGTTTTAAATAATCTTTCTGTCTTATTTAAGCTAATTGCATAAACTTTATGCTCTTCTTCTCCAGTGGCAGTCTAGCAGGCCAGCTGTTCAGTTCAGGGCATTTGGGCAGCAAACAGCACAAATCTTGCTGCTTTCATTCAATGTGAGGGCAGTATTTGTTCCCTGTCTAGACTGCTGCTCAAACTTTTTCTTTGGTGCAAGAACAGGACCAATGCAGGGTTGATGATCTGAATTTCTGGGTGTAGGGATACTTACTGGAATAATGCTTTAGATTTGAGCTATATATTTTCAACTTGCCCTTACTTTTAATGGAAGATGTAGCTGCAGTGACTTCAAAGTCTTTTCATTCATGCTGCTTTGAAAGAATAATAATTTTTAGATTTTAAAGCCAAAAGCTAAGAAAACACTTCCATTTTAGAATGAAAGATACATTTTCCACAATGCAAGTGAGGTGGGGTATTTTGTTTTGTTTTCCTGGGAGGAAAGGCTACTGGTGTATTTGCATTGAGACTTGGGCAACAAAGAGAAGCAAGGAAGAAGTTTGTGTTCCTAACTTCTCTTGGGAGAAGGGAATACTGACATTTAGAAAATCAAATCAGGTAAATAGGTAAAACTCAACTGTCTCAAAGCTGTGATACTTGAGGCAGAGCTAAAGAAGATTGATAAGCTCGTTCTATCACAGAGGTGAAATTCTGCTGACAAGAAGTGGTCCAAATTAGTATATTTTCTAAATATTCTTTACTCCTTGGAATTGTTCTCCCATGTGGAAAATGTGAACCAAAGCTGACAGCAGCAGTTCTTTTTGATATAAAGCAAGCCTGCTTCTCTTTCTGCTCCTTGGCACTCTTCACAAAAACAATACTCTTTCTAAAGCCTGAGATAAATTAGAGGCTGCTTACTTTGCTTAGCTTTACTTTTTTATATGCTATAGCATAGCTTTAATGCAGTATCAGTCTTTAGAATTTGTAACACATTTATAAACAAGCCTTCCCCTTGCTGTCCTTTTCTTCTGAAGTTTACAAGAATAATTTATTCCTCTAGGTTTGATGGCTTGGAAAATGCTAAGAACTGTAGCCACTCCTCTGTAGACCAAGGAATCTTTGAATGCATTTTCAATCTTACCTTCCCAAAAGACAGAAGAACTTATCCTGCTATAATTATTTTGATTAGAGGTGATTCTGAAGAAGTTAGGCCTGTGTGTGCAAGTAAAAATCCTACCACCCTTGGTAAGTTTAACATCACATCATAAAAATATAATTAAAATAAGAAATTTGGTAGTACGTTGTGTTTGAGAAACTTTACCTCATAAAGTATGGATGAGACAATGAGATGAGATGCTCCCTTCTAGTGACCTTTGATTTGAAATTGTATAGACAAGAGTTTGTTTTCTGTGGGATGGGTATCTGGGAGGAAGGGGGAGGGGTAATTTTCCATTAACTTCTACTCTTATCCTTTAGTTGGATTTACTCTTTTTTTGACTTACTGGTGCTAACTTCTTCCTCTTTCTCTTAATCTGGGGTAAGTGTAGTATTCTGCAGTACAGGACTGAACAATTTTTTGTAAGCAGTGAAACAGACTTTTGAACTAATTATTCCATTTTGTGTTTCAGTAAAACCTACCACACCAAGACAGTTGACATTGTCAAAGACTAATGATAGAATTGATGTAAAATGGAGTGAATCAGAAACATTTCCAAGAAGTTGTTTAAATTATGAAGTTAAATATTGCAATGGTGATTCGGACAATGGTCAGATCATTGCAGTAAGTTTTCATTGCTTTTTTTTTCTTTTTTTTCTCTGTAAATCTTTTGTAATATTTGTGGTTAAAAATGAGCAGTTGCATGTGTTGCATGTGTCTGGGTTGCATGTATCTGGGTTGAGTGCCAGAGCTGTGTGTTGTGTTGAGTGCTGTGTGAATGTAGAATTTTTCTCTCATACTGTACATTTATGTTAGTAAAAGCTGTACATCAAAATTCCTGCAAGTCTTACAAATCTTTCCCATCATTTGTTAGGGCAATTTGTAAGTGTGTGAGAACAGTCTGATAAAGAGGGATTTACTAAACTCTCAGGAAATGGTGCCTGTCTGCTTCTCAGGCTTGTGGGCTTGGTGTTTTGGTGTTGGGTTTTCCTGCTCTTGGTCTCTGGCCATGGGGCAGCTTTGGACTTGAATGCTGTGAGCTGATTGCCCTAAAGAAAAATCAGCTGCTGGTGCACACAAGAACAGAGAATCTCAGAGGGAAAAGCAAGGGGATAAAGAATGAGGATGGAGGGGAAGAAAGAGGGTGCACCCTCAGGTACACTGATTTTAGTGTGCACATGAAAAGCATTGAGTTCAGTATCTGGATGGACTCGTGCTATATGTCCATAGCCAAACTGAATGTACTGTTTGGTCAGAATGATAAAAACAATATGATAAATTTCAAAGTGAGTGGCAGTCTTCTCCTGTGGAGCATGTTTAGTTGTTTATTCTACGCCAAACTCGAATGCTAGCAGCATTCCCCAGGAAAGTGGTATTTTGGATAAAAAATAAGTGCAGTTAGATCCTATCTAGTGTGTGCTCTTCTTTGTAGAGGCATCACAGAACACTTTGGTATGGCTGGTTATGCTGCTCTGACAAGAAGGGAAGGTAAATCACAGATGTTTCTCAGAAAAAGAAAAAAAAAATTAGAAAGGCACCATTCCAAATGCAAAGTCTTAGTTTAATCATTGATGCCAAATGCTGCATGATAGATGTAGCAGTGAATAAGATTAAATCTTAGCTTTGGAATGTGCATTTAGGCTTTCTGTGCTTGTTAAATTCCACTATGCCCTATTTTTAATGAGGTTTCATAGTCATAAAAAGGTCTTCCATCAAAACATTCAGAATACATTAGCTGTACAATGTAAATAGTCTTGGAAGTGACTGAGAATATGTTGGTAATTGAACAAAGCAAATTGCCTTTTCTTTTTTGCCTTAGTCTGAAGTGAATTCTGTGTCAATTGCTGGCATTGATCCTAACAGCAAGTACACCTTCAAAGTGAGAGCAAAGCCAAAGCGGGATTGTTACAACAGCCACCTCCAAAGTGACTGGAGTGAGGAAAAGAGCATTGGTGAGACACTTTCCCTGCACTGTGCTGCACTTTACTCTTCATCTGTTAAGGCATTTAATACCTTTCTGTCTGCTAAATAAATGGGAGTCAAAGATCATCTCCTTATGTACTGTTTAATTTTGAGTGAAAAGAGGGCAGAAGGGCTCTAGTCCTTCAGCAGCACCACCTGTCCCAGCCTGGGCTGCTGTTGATAGTGCTGCCAGTTGTGGAGCTATGCAAAGTCCAGTGTAGCCAGTTTTTCAGCCCTGAGTCTTGCTCATTTGCATTTCCTTGCCAAACACATCTACATTGTAATCCCATCTTTGGAAAACAAGACTGTCCTTGCCCATAAAAGTGGTAGTGTACTTGAAAAAGCACTGAAAAAAGTGGAGAATTAACTATTTTGTTGTCATTATTCCTAAAAAGCCTCTCAAAATATCCCTAAGATTAGACAATTTCTGTTTTCCAGGTGAGAAGAGGGACTCTACAATCTATTTTGTTCTAATAATTACCATTCCATTAATAGTAGCAGTATCTACAATAATTCTACTGGTTTATCTAAAAAGGTAAATATTGATCTCCCTACATTTGCTGCTGTCTTTGTCAAGATGAAAGTTATTTAGAATCTGCCTGTGTCAATGTTCCCCTTCTGTCTTGGGGAGTAAAATAAGAAATGGGTAGAGTTCACAGAGAATGAAGGCTGGCCAGTGATGACAAAGTTGACTCCACAAATTTTCTTGACTGTACCCAAATATGATTTTGACATTTTAAAATTATTTTGTGTTTTTTAAATGATTTTTGAATTAATATATCTTTCATCTAAATATTTTCTTTTTAACTTCATGAAGGTTGAAGATATTAATTCTTCCACCAATTCCAGACCCTAGAGAAATTCTTAAGCGCATGTTTGGAGAGCAGAACGAGGATTCCCAGGTTAGTAAGAAGCTGTTGAGTCAACAAATCTATTGAACTGGGATCTCTAGGCTTGCAGTTTTGTTTTTCCTATGTCTGTCTTATAACTAACTGTGTATAAGTAGTATATAATATGAAGATTAAGTATTTTACAATACTAGGAATTGTTCAGAAACAATTACACAAAACTTAGATTTCCTCCCCCACCGCCCCAACTGTACTTTTCTAGTTAGATTAATAGAATTGCATTATTCTGTTACTCCAGTCCCTTAAATTTGTTTCAGGTTGGGGTTTTTTGGGTGGCAGTTTTCTGATTGTCAGGCTTCTTTTGCTGTGTAGGTTTTGGTTCGAGGATTTTTGGTTTTGTTTTTGCAACTCCATTAAGTGACCACTACTGAACATTCATGTCTTTCTGCTACTTAATCATATTTATGATGCTGAATTAAGCTATTTGTGCTTGACTTCCAGAAACGATCATTTTTAGCACTCTCACATTTATCATAGTCTGTTAGCTAGGAAGTAAATCAGACATATAGCTTCTTGTTTGCAAAAGAACAAAACCAGCTATAGTTGTTTCAGGCATTGGTTCATGAAAGACTTGCAGTGGTGCCTTATTTTGGGGAAAATAAACAAAATACCCATTAAGGAAACTTTTCTAAATAAATCTCTCAGTAGCCCTTTATAAAAATTCAAAGATAAGTACACTGACAATCCATAATTCAAACCTTGACATGAATTTGTTCTCCCAGATGGGACTCTTGGCCACGAGGGCCATAACTGTGGTAGCTGTTACACTTTGTTGTGCTTTCACAAGTGTTTTGCTACTGCCCCAAGTAATTTTCTCTGTGTGCTCAGTGAAAACTCTACAAAGTGTGCCCATGCTCAGCTCTCCATCCTCCTGCCTGAGCTTCACCCTTTGGTTGTAGCTGGAAGCACCCTTAAGGTGGGGACCAACCTCATCTCCAGAGGACATCTCTTCTGTCAGCCAGGCCTAAGCCATGGCTCTGAAAAGCACAGTTTGTTGCCCAGCTACTTTGCCTTTCCACCATAATACAGGGTATATGATGTGGAACAGGGGTCTGTCTTACTGGGGTGAAAAAGCAACCCTTGCCACAAGGAGACACTGTTAAAAATGTTGTTCCTCTCTTTCAGAGCTCTGCAAAGGATGATCCCATGAATGCTTTTGACAGGTTAATTATAGAAGAAGAAATTCATTCTTTAATTTTAACAGAAACTTCAGAGAGCAGTAATCCTGAAAAAGAAAACAGGTAGACTCTGCTTTGTCAGTGAAAGAGGAGGAGGCTGATCCTGCTCCTGTACCTCAGGTGACTGTAGATGTGAAGAGCTGCGAGGCACTGGCCAGCTCTGACCTCACTGGCTCCTCCTCTCAAGATGCATCACAAACAGTGGCTGTTCTTCTGTCTCTGCCAGAAATCCTCATCTGAGCTCAGTCAAGATGAGCATGTGTGTAATTCCATGGGACTGCATTGTGGGTTCCCTGCTCTGGCTTCAGGCAGCTCTGCCCTGTTACTTGCCACTTGCACTTGTGTTTGTGCCTCACACCAGACTGCCAGGGTTTTTTTGTTTGTTTTGAGCAAGCACTGTGACTTCTCTGAAGTATTTGGCTCTGTTTGCAGTAGGTGGGATGGGTCATTAGTGCTACCACGTGGAGATGCTGCCAGAGCATGGACTGCTTGTGGATAACCCTTTGTGTGCCTGGGCTGAGCACTCTCTGGAGGGCATTTATGGACTGAGCTTCTTGTGCTTCTGCCCATCAGCTGGGGCTCGGTCAAATCCCACCAAAGAGGGCATTTTTAAAATTTGAAAATATGTATGAAAAGCCTCTGCTTTCCAGCTGGTGTTCAGAATATTCATGAAACAGGCTTAGTTTGTTATCCTGTCAATTGCCTGTCCTCAGATGCCTTGCCTTCACGGACTTCTTGGGTTAATTGTACTTTGTTTAAAATGAGAAATAGTTTTGTTTTTTTTTTTTTTTTTAACTTGTTCTGTGCAGTAGCAGGTAACTGTATTGAGTCTCTCCAGACTGTGATTCTACTTTGGCCATATTGGCCTGAAGACACCTGATTTTTAGCAGCTAAGTTGTCCTGAGCCTGTCCAGCAGAAATGTCAGGATGGATGCATGAGTCTAAAGAGTTGTGGTCAAACTCATTAGCAAATATTAAACCAACTAATTCAAAGGTTTCAAGATCCATCCTTACTGCCAAACTGATGGATTTGTGGAAGAGGGGGTGACAACCTTGACCTGTTTTCTAAGAGATAAGTTTTATTCTTTCTATAGTGATGAGACTGATTTGAGCTTCCCCTCTAGGACTTAGCAATGTAAAACAAGGTGCTGATTTGACTTTTTAAAAAAGATTTCTTCTATATTTTACTGTAACAGTTTGACAGGTGTTTTTGTTGTTGTTTTGTTCATTCTGTGATGGTTTTGTTTTGAGGGTTCTTTGCCCAGCAAAGCTCAGCAGGTGTTTTATGAACAACTGTGACATTTTTCTGCTCTGCATTCTCAGCATTAGTTTCTGCCCTGTGCTGCAAGGGTGGTTACAGTGGTACCTTGATTGTGCTGGAGGAAGAAGATAATGGAATGGAGAGAAAAGGATCCATGGAAGCCCTTTATGGTTAGTGCTCAGGGATTTCTTGCTCCTTCCAGATAAGTGTAGACATGTGAGTCATGGACATGGGCAGTCTTGGCATGGGAAGAGATCTCCTGATAGGCTTTCTAGGAGCAGACTTTATAGCTACTAACCTTTTAAAGTTCATCCCTGTCTTCAAACTCCATTCAGTCAAAAAAGTGAAACTAAATGCTATTATTTTTGGAACATATTGTTCTGCCAGAAGTAGAACGAGTGCTACATGCTTGTTAGCTACAGATGTGCATTTTTTATGCACTTATGCATTCCTTCCTTATAATAAATCCAGTTATTTCCCCATTGTTCCACTGAGCCTCTCAAATACAGTTTTTTCCATGTCTCTTATCCTCCTTTTGTTAGTGGTAGAAAGGGGAGGAGAAATGTAGCAGAACTAGCAGACCCCCTATTAGCATATGCCTTTTACCTCCAGTCAGGCTAAAAAAACCCCAACATTATAAAAATTAGTGAATGAGACAAAATAAAAATAAAGCCTCAGGGATTTCAGTGGGAAAAAAACTCAGGTTATACAGTCAGCTAGTAGCACTCTCTGAAATTCCAGAGATTAAGGAATAGCATGAGGAAAACAGTAATTATATTCCTTGCTGAATTCATTCCCTCTGCAACATTGATGTCATTATAATGATAAATATTCCTTCAATCTACCTCATCTGGAATGTTGCTCAACATAGACCACTAGACAGAAATGTATAGTTTCAAGATAAGTAAGCATAACAGTATATTATAAAGTTTTGTAGCTTTTAGCATAGCAATCTAGGACAATCAGTACCTACCCCTAAATTCTTTTGACTTTTATGCTGGTGTCTATGACAAAACCAAAATTTATTTGCTTTTAAAAAAAAACAAACCAACAAAAAATCCCAAACATATCGTAAAGCCATAGAATGGGAAAAAAAAAAAAGAAAAAGGATGGAAGGTGTTAGGCCGAAAGGAAGATTTAAATGGTAAGGATGGTTTAAGTCACTATATAGAAAGGTTTTGAATAACACTAGTTGATGCTTTCTGATGGATTCATTTGTTGAGCCTGTGTTTCAGCATGTAAAGCAAGTGTCTGGATATACTTTCACCTTTAATATGTTTTTTTTTTAAGGTAAGAGGTTTTTTTAGCTTGAAATTATCCACATCTTGCTATGATTTTTTTTTTCTTCATTGCAGTTACTTGACGTGTAAATTTGTTCAAAGAGTGAATAAATGTGATTGAATGCTTTTCAGTGTAATGGCATGGCATTTTGTTCTTGGGTTGAGGAGATTGAACTGAGGCCAAAGAGATGGATTTTCAATGAGGAACCATGTTTGAAGCATGCAGAACCCAGAGAAGAAAAGCTGAGTTGCTTTGCCCTCTTCCCTTTTAAGAGTGAGCTTGGCCCACACAGCGTTGTGGATGCACTGCAGTGTCTGTGCTTTTGGTTGGGATAGTGGAACAGAGATGGAGCTGAGCAAAAAGTTTGGGCTGTCACCCTCTGTACTCAAGGCCATTCTACTTTCTGACATTGGCATGTTATTTTAACACCACAGAGTTAATAAGCCATCAAACTGGAATTTGACTGAAATTGCTGCAGCCTTCCCCACTGTATCTTCAGTGTTTTTCATCTTTGTTAGCTGCTGGGGTTATTGAAAATGCCAGGTTGCTGAACTGCTGAAAGCCATCAACTTGTTGCTTAGACCCAAGTATATTGAAGTGCCAAATAAACACATTAGTAATGCCTTCTTGGAAAGATTCAGAGAGAATTCTTAGTTCCCTTCAGTGAGCAGATCATTCAAAATTAAGATATAAACCATGACATCAAAAGCAAGACTTTCATGTTTCTCTTTCACAATTCTACAGTTTTGATGGTAATAATGACTAACAATGATTTTAATCACTCCTCGTAAGTGACCTTTTCCTATTTTAATACATTCTGTTAAATAATCTAAGCTTTCTGTATTTGGCATCATTGAAAAATGAACAATTAATTTCAATTTTTTTTGTTCATTTTTTTCGGTTAAGGAATTACATGACACAGTTGAAAGAAGTTTTAGGGGAACACACAGAAGTGTAGGTCACAGTGTTTCAGTGCTTACTGGGTCGAACTGTTCACAGGTTGGGTATTTCCATTCACTGGAAATTATTCAATAAACTTTTTTCTGAGCTGGAACTTCAAATACTCAGAATTTCCTTTGATTATTTTTTTTCATTAAAAAAATCTGAATTTTTTGTTTTGAAGGGTTTTCCACTCACTCAAGCAAGAACAGGATGTAGGTGAGTAGGGGGTGGAAGTCCACATATGGTCAGGATGTTGCAGAAACTCCCTCCCTCCTCACCCAATGCTGTGGTCAGGGAGCAGCTGAGATCTGCAGGCCCAGGATCAGGTAAGGTGGGACTGGGAGGAGCAGTTCTGCTGGGTTACTGAAGGTTCATCAAGATAATCCCCAAATACTCCCGTTTCAAACAATATTTGCAAAATATGTTTTAGGGGAGCACTGCCAGCTGCAGAAATGTAGCTTCTAGATAATACTGAAAATCCAAATGCAAAACCAGATTAAAATCTCTCTATTTGGATGAACTTCCTGCAAGCTGTCGAATCAAGGTGGTAGCAGGAGGCTCAGATCACATGATGTAACAAAATCCACACTGTTACCACAGCAAAGCAATGTGGGTTTGGGTGGGTGGCACGGGGAAGAGAAACTTTCTTTCGGCTCCGGAAACTCTGTCTCAGGTTTCTGACTTGTAAGAGCCTGAAAGCTTGTTGATGACTTACGGGGGTTTTTTGGGGCTGTTTTTTTCAATCTGTTTATCCAATATGCTGGTTAGCTTAATGAGATCCTTTCTCTTTGTTTGTAAACCTGGTGGTGTTTATCACTGAAGGACCCCTTCTATGGCCATTCTCTGGTTATTGCTTAGTTTTCTGAAGATAGTAATTCAGTGGGAAAAGAATTGCTTCTGTCACCACAGAGCTGAAAAGCAGCCAGTGTACTCTAGAAATAGTCTCTGCTTCTTGTTTGGCTTTTGCTAAAATTCTGCAATTATTTTGCTGACTCTTGCACAAAGCAGCTACAAAAAGATAACTTTCCAGTTAACCAGGACTTCCAGTAATCATGTTCTCAGCTTGTTATATCAGTTTCCCTCTATTCACTTTGGCTCAAACAGCTAAACAAAATAGCAGCTTATTTTGGCTAACTGCATGATGAGATTAAAAGCTTTAGTGAGAACGATGTTTTGTTATGCTCAGGCATTGTCACTTTTTGGAATCTCAGGCAAAATTTGCAAAGCTAGATTGAATGTTAGGGGCAGCTTGAACCAGGAGCTAAGCTAATGCTTTAAAAGTAGAGCTGCCCCTACATCTTCTGTGCTGAAAGAAAAAAAACAAAGCCAACTAACTATGTGGTCTGTGTTGGGAAAAATTAAGTTGTGCAATGGACACGCTGTCCTAGTGATCTACTGAAACTGGTATCAGCAATTTTTTCCTTGAAGTTCTCCATTCTGAAACACCACAACTGAGCTGTAATTAACACACTTAGCTATGTCATTGCCACTTCTTTGCCTGCTTAGTTGTAGCAATAGAACTGATTTTTTTTTTTTATTTAAATGGCAGAGAGTACCAAAATTAGCCTGTTTTGCCTGTTGGAGCCTTTCTCCCTCCTGTACTTCAAAGCCTTTTAGCCTCTCTCTAGTTTCCTTTCTTCATGCAAAATGTCAGTGTGGAAACTTCTAAAAGGCCAGCAAGGCTCCTAAAAGGTGTGAAACTGCATGGTCCTCCAAATGTCAAAATCAGTTACAGGGAAAACTATTCAGGGTATGGCTATTTAGCTAAAGATCAGACCCTGTCATCTTCTAGGAGAATAGTCAGCTGTAGACAACCTTGCCTACATTTCAAAACAAGGACTGAGCTTGGTTTGGAGTAAAAATCTTGTTTCTAAATCCTTGGGAACACCAGGCCATTTTATTAGGTGTGTAACACTAATTATTTTGTTTATAGGCTATATGAAAAATTAATCATCCATTCATTAAAGCTTGGGTAGGGCTCTTCCAACCGTCAGGGCATCCCTGCCATATTTTCTTCTTCTGAATGGTGGCAAGACACAGTGCTCTTGGTGATCTGTCAAACTTGTAAAAAACTACTAGACAGTCTCCCAATTATTTTGTCTCACTGCTGTTTTCTCCTTAATTCAAAACTCCTCCAGCTGACCTGCTGATTTTTACTGCAAATAAAGTTGCCTTTTTCTCTGTCCTCCCCTCACCAGTCTTGTTTGCACTCTGATCATGCTACCAAGTTCTGTTCCTGATCTTTTCTGCTTTGAGAAAGTAAAAAGGAAAGAAATGGAAAGAAACAATCCAAGATGTTTACATATATTAATTTGTTTATTTATATTCTCTTCTTTTTCTACATCACATTAACTCAAAATTAGTATTATCCTTGTAATCTATGACTTAGGACTTTTATACACTCAAAAGTACCACTAACTATATACACTCTACCTTCTTCCATTCTTTAAAATTAATGCTGAAAATACAAGAAACGTACATGTAAGGGTTTAGAGTATAGTTCTTTGGTCAGGTACACCTTCCACAGTAAAGAAATTTGCTCTTACATTATTTTACACTCAGCAGTAGCAATACACAGCAGCAATAAAGGTGATTCTCTTTGATGTTTTGTAGGAATAATGACTGTATCTTAGTTTAACATGACAAAACTATTATTTTGACAGACTCAAGTTGAAAAATCAATTTGTTTTACACTTGTGTTAATAAACACTGAAGGTAAAACAGCAAGTGGTTTCTTTGCAGAGGACCTTTGCTCCAGTGCTAGATTGGCAGGAAGCAGGGAGACAGGCAGAGTGGTAGAATCATTATAACACTGCAGCACTTCAGCCACTGAACTCAACATCCTAAGTCCAGTGTTATTTATCAGGATGGTGACTACAGAATGATCCAAAGCAGTAAAATTCCAAGTCTACTACAGGCATTGGATATGCACCAGCTGCACACAGACAACCTGTATTTCCAACAATGGCACCCCAATCTGCAAGAGTAAATATCTCTCCTTCCCAGCTTTGTGGGAAAAATTTCAAACACTTGAGTAAAATAAAATTATATCCTTTAATGTTTTAAAACATTATCTATATTCCACATAATTCTGATATTTCATTTAGTTAGGAAGTCCTGACATATAGGATGAAATTATTAATGCTTTATGTTTAAAGTGTACTAAGCAGTGCAATGCCACAAACAGCCTCAGGCTCCATTTCTATAGTGTGGGGTGAAGGAAGGTGGCTGGACCATCTCACCAATGTGGCTCTGTGACAATGTCAGCCACATCAGTCCTTTTGTACAAAGACAATGCCTTTAAAAATTGCCTAAAGGAAGAAGAGTTTCATTAAAATTAGACTTCCATCTGAAGTATATGTAAATAAAAAACATTGGCTGACACAGTCAGCGTGGCTCAGTTTGGAACATGAAGTGCTGTGTAACACTCACTCCAGAGCAATGGCCTCCCACCTTCACATACCCATGAGCAGCACAATGACACAAATAACACTGCAAGCAACATCCTGCTCTGCTTGGGTTGGTATATTTTCATTTTGCCTTCTTTGGGTACTCTGAAAGGCATGAGTTGACAAACATTGCTCCAGAACTAATACTTCTGATTCATATTAAATAGACAGATAAATAGTCACATTTGATTGACTTTTAGTCACAGTGCAATTTAACTTAAACTATTCCCCTTAAAATATTTTTCAACTGTAAACTACACTAGAAAGACACAATAATTTTATTAATTTCATGACTTTTTTAAATCTGAAGTTGCCTGTGAACTTGTATGTAACAAAATCAATTACATTCCACTGTCAAATTACCATTAATTAGGCTGCTAAAATGTGCGTAAGAATATATCTGTTCCTATAAATTAACTCTGTGGGCTTTGGTCAATAATGGTACAATTTACCTGGCAAGTCTCCGCAGTTCTTTCTTCTCAAAGAATTGAATTGAGAGCAGCATTTCAAATGGACAAGTAGCCAATTTGCAAAGAGCTCCTGCTTGAAAATAATTTTGTAAGAAACCAGTTCCTTAAGTGATTTGAGACTGTTTAACATGGAAGAAAAATGTGCTACTTGATTCTGGACCAGCAGGAGCCAGTTGCTCCTCAGTACAGGCAAAAAGTTGCCAAAATTTTCCAGTCCTTTGCTTTTATGGAAGTAGCAGCTTCTCATGGTTGCTGAACTCCTTCATGTTCTCAGAACACACCTAGAAATGATGTGACAAACTGTATATCCTGCCATAATTAGCACATCTTAAAGACAGTTTTATCTTGCAAAGCTCAAAGCAAGTTCCAATAAAAATTTCTTTTAAAAAATATTTCATTACTCATACTAATGAATATGTTAAAAACATTTGGATGCTATACTCACTACCTAACACACGTGTACAAAAGCAGACACATAAAAGCATGGCACCTGACCTTGCTCAGGTGAAAAGAACTGAAAGTGGTTTCCTGTATCATGGTACTGAAGGCACTATGGCATTTAATTCCTTTCACAGTAACCTTCAAGCCTAAAGAGCAGTTAGGCTGCCTCTGGTAGCTTTCACTAAAAAAGATCACTACAGAACATCAAAATTCTAATCCTCAAAATTATTCTAAATTTCAGCCTAAATTTTTAACATAGCCCATTAATTCTTTTGCAAACACTGCCTTAAATATTAGGAAAGCTTGCCTCTCTTCTCAGTTCTCACTCAGATATATACATTTCCTGTGTATGTTTGTGCACAGACAAAGAAAGACAGCTGACAATCACTTTGACTCCTTGGTATCCTGCCAAATGATCAGCTCACTGTACTGCCTATTCATCCTTCTTGAACATCAGCGACCAAGACATTGTCTAATCTGTTTCAAGTCTGAAAAATAAAGGCAACAATTGTCCTTCCCAGTTACATGGATGACCATTAAAAATGCCCTAAGAATTGTCATTTTATATTTGTGTCTGCTAGTTCTAGAAAAGTGCAATGTGTAGAGGGTGTATTCAAGTTACAGCAATTTTATTTCCCTCCTTTTGAACAACATACATTTGAAAATTAAGTTATTAAATTACACTGGGTCCAGCACACCTGGTTCCACTGTCTTGTAGATTTTGCTCAGAAAG